TGGGAGAACTTGCACAATTGGTGGCTGACTAAATACTTTTTTGCCCCACTGTATATCAAAACTTGAATGCTTAGATATTTTCTATATCTAATGTTTAGATATTTTCTATAATCTTTTAGTCCAGTATAAACTGATGCTACAATTAAAATGTTTTTAAGAAATGTTTAGTTTTTTCTTTTTAAATTTTTGTTGATTTAAAGAATAAAGTATAGCTCAGTCTACTATTTGGAGCCTGGTGATAAGCATTTTATCTCTTCTGCTTCTATAGTCCATTATTGTATAGAAGAACATGGGAAGTTTTTCAGATTAAAATGAATGACATGGTTATAGCAACAGAAACACAGCTTTCTAGATATTGAAACCAAAATCCCTCTCCTTTTTTTTTTTTTGTGCTGATGATTAACACTTCCATTTTATATGTGCAGTTTTGCCACTGATTTCTGGAATCAGGGCTTAAGGGCACTTGTTATTTTCATTGCATCTGTATCTTGTAATTCCAGTAATGTAGAATGAAGCTGTTGGTATCTAATCCTTTCAACTTAATGCTTATAGAAGAACTCCTGTAGCATTATTTGTTATAAATTCATCTAGCATAGGAATTAACACACTTGTCTATTTTACTAACCTTTCATTAACATCTAATGGGTAGGAAAATATTCATGTAGTAAATTCATAGATCACTTTATGAACACTACCATTCTGAGCATGTCTGAAAGAAAGCTTTATTTGGATTTAGTTAGCATGTCAAAAATTGAGTTATATTGTATTTAATTTTGGCAAATTTAGTATTTTAGGGCAGATTGTTGGAAAGATTTTTGTAGAAATTTGATTAAAGGAAATTTAACTAACCATACTTCAAAAAATTAGCAGCATGGAGTGTTCTCATTAAAAAATATAAATGTTTCTACAAATGATAATTCATTTACTACACCAATTTCTTAAAAGGTTGTTCTAGAACAAGAACTGTTTTTTGATAAGCCACAAGGAATTGTACTTAAATCAACTTAATAAATCATTTCACAATCTTATTGTAGTATACTGATACTTTTCCATTTAAAAAAATATGCATTTCTTATTTAAATATAGCATATTCAGTTTATAATATAGCAAAAATTTTGCTATATTTACATTTTCCTTATTAATTTGTTTACTAGTAAAACAGTTTTTCCATTGAAGTGCTTTTTTGTCTTCACTTTATTTCTTATACTGCTAGATAACTGAAGATATAACATAAACATTCAATTTCCAGTGGGCTAATGGAATAATAATAGTCTAATTATTGTGAGTAGATTCACTATTTGTTTCAAATATGTTATTAGAAACATGTTTGGATCCAATTTTAAATGAAGTGTAGAAGCACCACTATTAAGTGTGTGTGTGTGTGTGTGTGTGTGTGTGTGTATATAT